AAAAAAGAAAAAGAAAAAAGAAGAAAAGAAAGAAAAAAAATAAAATATCTGGAATCTGGTAGGTCCCAACATATAATTCAGTCTAGATTCAGTATTTTTCAAATACTGATTTTTTTTTTTTTCTTGGTACTGGGGATTGAACTCAGGACCCTGAGCTTGCCAGGCAGGCGCTTATTCTACTGAGCTATCTCCCCAGCCCAAATTGTTGTTTTTTGGTTTTTCTTTTGTTTTGTTTTTGTACTCAGGACCTTATGCTTGCCAGGCAGGAGCTTAGACTGCTGAGCTAGTTTTCTACCCGGTCATCAATATATATTAGCTTCTTTTATTTGTTTTCTTTTTTGCTCACATTCAACACCATGTTTTTGTTTTTTAAAAAGGACCCAAACATGAGGGTCAATCCATCTTTTTCATTCTTAAATATTATTCAGTGCCTGCTGTCAACCAGGCATTGGGACTACAGCAGAGAACACACTGACAGGGAGGACCCAGGCTCTGGAAACAGATAGAGTTGGATTCAAATCCTGACTCAGCCACCTATCAGCAATTGTAATTCACGCAAGTGCTGGCACCTCTCTGAGGCTCAGCTGAGCCTAAAATAGATACAGTAAGCTTGGCACGTTGAGATGCACCTGTAATCCCAGAACTCCAGGAGGCTGAGGCAGGAGGATGCAAATTCAAGCCCAACTTGGGCAACTTAGAGACTTAGCACGACCCTTAAAGCACTAATATTATCCCTTAATTACTGTGGACTGGTCAGGCCAGCAATCTCCCAAAGGAGTGTACGGTGAAGGCTTATAATAAGAGTCAAGTGGTAGGACTTTAGGGCTCCAAGAAGATCAAAACCCTCTAACAGAATTTGAGGCTCTCTGAAGGCTAAGACCAAGATCTTCTCTGGGCAGCCCATATTTTTTAGTTATCAAAACTAAGGAGATGGGGCCAGCGAGATAGCTCAGTGGACTCAAGTGCCTGCTTAGGCAAGCTTAGGCAAGCGCAGGGACTGCGGTTCCATCCCAGGCACCACATGCTGCACCAGCCCCATCCTCCTCAGGGCGGGCTGAGCCAGCCAGAGTTTGGGTGGGCATAGTGACATATGCCTGTAATCCCAGTGCTGGGGCGGCTGAAAGCAGGCGGATCACCACGAGGCCAAGCTGTGTGGTAGAACCTGCAACAACCAGATTTAAAAAAGAGAGAGAGAAATACTGAAGAAAGCTGGGAATCTGAGCAGGACCAGCCAAGGACCTTGGAAATCAGCTCAACGACTTTTCTAGGTAATACATTATGTTAATTTAGGAGAGCTTTGCTAGCTCCAGGAAGGCCTACTGCACTGGAGTGAGATGCCTACCGCTACAGTCTTTGTTTAGAGAATCGAGGTTGGCACCAGGTGTCCTCAGCTGTGGCTCTGTCTTGTCCTTTGTGGCTTCACGGCTTTACCCACCATTACAGGCCTCAGAGGGGACCAGTGAGTCACAGAGGTTTGCTTACTATGAGTCCGCTGACCATCTCCAGACAAGGGGCCTGGGCTTTGGGCAGACTCACAAGTAAACTTGGGAAGACAACTGGCTAATTTAAATGCTGCTCATAGGGCTGGAGAGATGGCTCAGTGGTCTAAAGCACCTACTTAGAACAAGCTTAGCAAAGCACAGGGACCCCGCGGTTCAATCCCCCAGCACCACATGCCAGCCAGCCCCGCCCCCTGGTGGGCTGAGCTGGCCACACACACACACAATAAATAAATGTAATAAATAAAAATAAACAAATAATTAAAAAAAAATAAATGCTGCTCATAGCCACTTCATAGTGAGCACCTTCAGATCCTATCTCAAAAAGGAAAAAAAAAAAAAAAAAAAAAAAAAAGACTGGTGTGAAGCTCCTAGGACATATTCCCAAAAACAATACAATAAAATATCTTGTAGGATGCTTGGGGACAACAAAGGAAAAGATGTTTGTAAAGATATTTATGAGCAGCTATGTAAGGAAGTCAAAAGTTGAGGGGCGGGGGTGAGGGGACACAAATGCTTAGGCAGCAGAAGAGGCCCAAAGGTCCTGGTTTGGGGCCTTTAGGGCTGGGCTGTTTAGGGACGGCTCCCTCTGACAGGCCAGTCAAGCCCTAAACACTTAATCTCACTAGTGGCATTTATCCAGTTCTTTAGACCATTTTACTGATGAGGAAAATGAGGCCTTCCAAGGGGAAGATCCTTTCCCAAGGAACACGGAGTCAAGACCTGAAGCCAGGTCTCCCAGGTCCAATTTGTGCATTTCTGGAGTTCCAGCTGTTCTCAGGGAGTTCTGTCAACAAACGCATACTGGGCTGTTGGCTGGGCAGCTGTGGCTGGGCTGGTCACAGTGGGGTGCTGTCTCCCCTGTCCACAGAGGACATAGCATGGGACATTGGCCTTGAGCTTGGCCAAGAGCAGAGTGATCTTGGGAATTGTGCATGGAGTTTGGCAACCAGAAAGCGAACCTCTGCTGGGCAAAGGGAGATATGAAAGACAGCGCTTGGCTGTGTTTTCATGGAAGGCTCTCAGAGTTCTGTTTCTGGGAACAATGCATTTAATTTTCATTTATTGTCACACAGGCAGTCCTAGAAGAGGAATGGTTGCTATTGTCAAAGTCACAGATGAGGAAGCCAAGACCAGGGAGATCAAATGACCTGCCCAAGAATACACATCTGGCATGGTATGGGCTGAAACGTGGGCTTTCTGACTCAGAGGACATCTTGTTAAAAAGGATACTATACTGTTTCCAAGAGAAACAAAGGAATGAATGGAGGAAAGAGGGGCTCTGGTGGATTCACTAATGGGCAACTTGTAACAGCCAGCTGCACTGAACCAGCCCTGGTGCCCAGTGAGGGAGCCCACCTGAGGATTGTTATCAACATATAAGAAGAGCCCTGGAAGGGAGGGTGGTGTGCCACTGAGCCTCCTGGAGAAGCTCATTATGGTGGCTTTCCCGATATGCTCTTGGCTGTTGGGGCCTCACCATCACTGAGAATGGCTCTGGTTCTCCTTGAGGGAGCTCCAGTTCTTACCCTGAGCGTTGCTTCCTGGCTCCAGTTCAGATCCCTCAGCCTGCTGGCACGGGTCCTTCATCCCACTGGCACAGACTTCGTGGCTTCCATCACTGACCGTTGGGCCTTCCCAGCACAGATCCATGAACTAAGCCTGCACAAGACATTGTCCTGGGCTCTAGGCCTCCAGCTGGACTCGTGGGGGGCATTGTGAGGAGCTCTAGGTCTTCAGCTGGTCTCACGCAGGACACTGCCATGGGATCAAGGCACTCGACTGGATTCTTTGGGTCTCTAACGTGGTCTCTAACGTTCCCTGCACTGTTTTTTGCATTTGACACTCTTTGGGTGAATATTACAAAATAATCCTATGAGCTATATGTTATGCAGTAAATATTTTCCCTTGTAAGCCCTGATTACAGGGATGAAGACATGAAGAATGGGAGAATGAGAGAAGAGAGAATGAATATTTTTATTTTTAAATTATTTTAATGGTGGAATTTGAACTTCTGGCCCCAGCATGCTAAGCATACACTCTACCACTGACACCTCTAGTCTCATTTTATTTCTTTTTAATGAAATAGTTGGTTGAAAAAATACATATAGCCCATATGAGCTATAAAACATGGCTAGAGGGAAAACTTTGGACCCATCACCAATCTAAAGCTTCAACAGAAAGTGACTGACAGCTGCGACTGTGGGTCAGGGATTCTCCTGCCCTGGCTGTACATTAAACACACCGAGAGAAGTCTGACGGGATTTGTTTGAAGTTTGGTCTGGGCATCTCAATTTTTGTATTTGAACTCAGGCCCTTGCGCTTGCCAGGGAAGTGCTTATTCTACTGAGCCATCTCCCTGGGCCCCTTCCCCGAGGGGATTGAACTCTGACTTCAATTTTTAGACGCTGCTTAAATGCTTCTTACGTGCCGTCATGTTTGAGAACCACTGGACCCTCTATTTTATCTCTATTTATTCTCTTTCCCTTTGTCTACCCAAGTAACCATCACCTGAATTTTGTTGTAGGAACTAATTTTCTCCATCTTTTCTGTTTCAAAGATTAACGCATTTGCTATTGATCTTACAACGACCTCTAGAGGGCGCCAGGGGGGAAAACAATCCCACAATCTTTCTGCTCCGAGCGTTCACACCGCCCTGGAGGAGGCTTGGCCCTCGCAGTGCACCGTCGTCAGGCCCGTTGCCGCGGCAACAGGCTAGCGAACAGTTGGCGTAGCTGTAGGGCTACCTGGGAGGTGTGGACTGGTCCGGCGGCTTCCGCGCATGCAGAGCTCGGTTCGCGACATCCTTTGAAAACTCCAAGGTGCAGAGGAACGTGAGTTGAGAGGTTGCGGTGCCAGGGGAGCGCGCGTCGGGGCAGGTTTGTGCAGGGCCTTGCGGTCGGCCGCCGCGCGCCGGCGGGAACCGGAAGACGCGAGCCCTGGGTTCCTGGCTGGGCTCCTGCCCTCCCGGGGCCCAGCACGTTCCTTTGCAAGTCTTTGCGTTACGGTTGAATGTTGGACCCTGAGAAGGATTCGGTCGGTTCAGAGAAGCAACCCCATTGGTGGCCGATCCAGGCCTGCAGCCTTAAACCGTTTGACTCCTGGTGCAAAGATTTATCCACTGGCGGCTTTTCAGGGCAAGGAAAAAGTAGGTTAATCCTGCAACAGTCTTAAAACACAGATCAGACATTCGCGCCCAGGACCTTGAGTACCCGAAGTTTGACATTCTTGAAGTTAACACAGCCCTGTCGCACATTTCCTAGACGCCAGTCCTACTGACAAAGGATTTCCGAATGATAAAAGGGAAGTGTTACAGCTACCAGCCTGCTAGGTGTCAGGCACAGCTAGAAGTCAGTTTGTGTTACCCAAAATCGAAGAATGCATTCTGAGGAACGATGGAGGTTAAGAGTAGGAAAGCTTTATTGGGAGAGCCCCCTCCGGGTCGCCAGTGAGCCCACTTCTCAAAGGGAAGTTTTACAGAGCAAAATCACGGGGGGGGGGGCGTTTGCAACATGGCACAAAGCAAAACTGTGATCGGCCAGTCAGTTGACAAGTACAGCCACTTCGGTAATGTGAACCTAACGGGGAAGCAGGTCGCCAAGCCATCATACATGGGAAGAACGCAGACCTTTTTTTCGAGATGAGTCAGGTGGGCCAGGTCACTCACCTGGGTGACTGATGTCTGTCTAGACTTTATTGGATTAAGTGATGCCCATTATAGTTATATTGCTTTTCCCTTGGGGAGGTGTGTAGGCCTGGTCATTCCGTGTTTATCTTGAGGCCAGACCTTCAGCAGATGTGACTCCAGCCTTTGGCTCCTGGGAGGGCCTAGCCCTGTCTGACTGCCTGTAATAGCTCTACCTAACCCAGCTGCCTATAATGCAAGCACTGGGTGTATTCCGCGTATGGGGAAGTGAGGTCTGGCATTGAGACTGCACTCTGTTCTCAGGGTTCTGAAGTGTCCCCAGGCAACCTGACTCCTTTCTCTAGTGTTTCCTTCATTTGCCCTCAAGGTAGACCAAAACACTTGTAGGCCAGGTCTTTGCCTAGGCAGCCTCTCGCTGTGTGTAGTCCAGACTAAAGACTCAGAGTTATCCACATTCCCAGATCTTTTGTTTCCTCTGCTTTCTGGCTTTGTGATCCTGGGCAAATCGTTTCACTCCTTTGAATTTCCTCACCTGTCAAATAATGGGATGATTTTAAGAATGAGAAAAGTGATACATGTTAAGTGCTTAGTACATACTAAGGTCCCTGTTACTTAGTGCAGAGCATGAAAGTCACCAACATGTATAGCCTTGCATTGCTACACCAATCCCCAGCTCTGTTTGTAGCAACCCTGGTAATGCTTGGCTCACTGCTGAGAGGTCTTGGTTTATTTAGAGTCAAGGCAGGCACTTGTGCCACTGAGCTGTCTCCCTCCTACCTTAGTTTATTTAAGTTGCTGATTCGCCACCTTGATGGCAAATTATTTAAACACATTGATGACTCTACCCCAATTTAAGGCTTTTATGATTCAGTTGATTTGGAGTGGAGCACAGTTGCAGTTATCAGAGCTTCACCAGCCGGCTTGGTTGTGTAGCTAAAGAGCAGGGAATACCATCCTTAAAGAGATGAGGGTGCCGGGGAGATAGCTCAGTGGAATAAGTGCTTGCCTAGTAAGCTCAAAGTATTGAGTTCGATCCCTGGTCCCACCAGAGAGAGAGACAGACAGACAGACAGAGACAGAGAGACAGAGACAGACATAGATGAAGCCGCCTGGTGTGGGTTCCTGGGTTTACAGTCACTCACTTCCTAGCCCTTGCTACTCCCCTCAGATGGCCCTGCCCACGCTGCCCTCCTACTGGTGCAGTCGGAGGCTCCTGGATCAACAGGCCGCGCGACAGCGACATCGAGAGCAGGAGGCCCGGCTTCGGCAGCAGTGGGAGCAGAACAGCCATTACTTTAGGACGTCTGACATCTGCAGCGCCAAGCAGGCAGAATGGAGCTCCAAGAACTCCTACCAGCGCAGGTAATTGTGCTGTGCTGGCCAGTGGGTGGAGCTGAGGCACCACCTAATGATAAAGGGGTATGGCTCCCCAGTATGTTCTTGCAAGGGATTCATCAAATAATGTGGAGTACCTGTATAAAAGCCTAGCCTGTCGGTGTCATGCACGTAGGATCATTCCTGGGTCATGTTTTACTAGCTGGAAATTGGAAAAAAAGAACATCCACAAAGTAACGTATTCGTGTTGAAAAATACAAGATGAACCCAGGCATGGGAGGGAGCACACACATGTAATTCCAGCACCCTGCAAGGCTGAGGCAGGAGGACCGCAAGCTGGAATCCAGCTGGGACAGTTTAGTGACTTAGCAAGGCCCTGGCTCAAAATAAATAAATTTTCTTTGTTTGTATTTTAGGGAAGAGTCTCAGGGTATTCGGGGTCTCAGTGCTAGATCAGACTCATAGTGATCTGCCTGTTTACAGCCTCCCAAGAGCTGGTATTACAGGTGCGCGCCATCATACCCAGTCCCAACTTGCCATCTCAGCGCACTCAGGTGGCAGGGCCGGCATGGTGGCCCCTGGGAACGAATCCCTGGCCCCTGTGCCTGGTTGCAGGCACTTTAATCTGCTGAGCTATTTGGCCAGCCCTAAATAAATTTAAAAGGGGCTGGGTATATGAAGGGCCTTGATTCAGTCTCCACTGATACATCACACACACACACCCACACACACACACACACACACACGCACCCACACGCACACGCCTGTGCACACGTGATTGTGTGCAGTGATGCAGAAGTGATGGAATCTGGAATCCTTATAACCCCACATCTCCAAAGAGTACCACAGACTGGCACATACCCTTCCATGGTTTTTTTTTTCCCTGTTTGTGTTTATGTTTAAATATATGCAAGATTTTTTATTGCAGTACACGTAAAAATACTTCGGAGCCAGTCCTAGATGGAAACCCTGGCTCCTGGTTATATTGCTTTCTTCATGAACAAGCCTCAGTTTCCTCATCAGTGAAGTGAACCTTAACTTTCAAAGTTAAGTAATAATATAAAAACTACCCATATAGAGTACATGGCACATATTAATTGCTCAAAAAAAGAAAATTTAGCCAGGGCTGGGAGATAGCTCAGTGGTCTAAGCGCCTGCCTGACAAGCTCAGGGACCCAAGTTCAATCCCTGGTACCAGATGCTGCACTGGTTCCAGTATCCTGAGTATGCCATGCTGGCCTTGAAACTGGATGTGGTGGTGCACTTCTGTAATCCCGGCACCTGGGAGGCTGAGACAGGAAGATCACTAGGAGTCTGAACTGTGTAGTGAGACCCAGTATCCAATAAATAAATAAAATTTAAATTAGCTACTATCTGCATATATAAGCTTATTTTTATGTTTTTGTTTTTTTTTTTCAAAAATAAGAGTATCTACTATGCAGACTGTTCTCTGATCTACTCTCTTGGGCAGGGTGGGGAGGCAACTTCTTGTGTCAGTGTTGGGATTGCCTCCACCTCCTACCCATCCAGCGAAGAGGGTGACCGCCTTAGCTGGAGCATGAGTGATGTGCCGTGGTCTTGTTCTCCCCAGCATGCTTGCATACCAGCGGGAGAAGATGAAGGAGGAGAAGAGGAAGGGTCTGGAGGCCCGACGTGAGAGACTCCGGCAGCTTATGCTTGAGGAGCAGGACCTGCTGGCCCGGGAGCTAGAGGAGCTGAGGCTGAGCATGAACCTGAGGGAAAGAAGAATCCGGGAGCGGCATGGGAATCTGAAATCAGCCCAAGAAGAGCAGAGGAAACTGGTAACTGGCGGGCTCGGGAGAATGAGCAGGGGAAGCAGCCCCAGCCCCAAGGGCTCATTTCCTGGCCACCGCGGGCTGAGGAGGCGCTGGCTCACTCCTGAGCCAGGCAGAGAGGTGTTCATGCATCCTGTGCAGGGAGTGTCGCCTGTTGGAGCCACCTGTCCTCACTTTAACCCCTAAGTCGCTGCAGCTGACTGCTTTTTCCTGTTCCAGTTCTGTGGTCCCACAAAGCATATTTTCTCTTGCACAGAGGTTGTATGGAACAGTGGGCCCAGCCTGTACTTTGTAGCTTGCTGTGTATTTGGGGACCCCTAGAACGGACCTATCTGCAGCAACAGATTTTGGTTCCTTTCAGCACCATTGCAGGAGTCTTTGTCAGCGCCATCTGTCCTTCTCAGACGCCCGCCTGGCTCGTGGGGCTGTGGGTCCGAGGTCAGCAGAGCAGGAGAGCAGTGTGGGGACGGCACACGAGCAGAGCCGCTCCTGGCCTGAGCTCCCCTCCACCGTGGGTCTTTCCTGCTGGGAATGAACTTGAAAAGCAACATTAGGCCTTCCTTTTTGTTTTCTTGGCAGATCGCTGAACGGCTTTTGTACGAGCACTGGAAACAGAACAACCCAAAGCTTCGAGAGGTGAAAATCAAGGATCTTCCACTCATTTTCCTGTGTAGATGAGGTCCTGTTCAGAGTTTTCGGTCTGTGTTCATTTGTTTTGTCACTGGAAATCAAACTCAGGACTTCACACTTGCCCCGCAGATGCTTCCCTACTGAGCTATATCCCCAGCCAGTTTGTGTTTTTTTAAAAAATATGAATCTTGTGCTGGTTTGAAACATAGGGGAACTTCCTGCCACCTAAAAGAGCACTTGGTCTTCTGCCTGGTGACAAGACTAAAGGGTTCAGCAGCTATTTAACAGATGCTAACTTAACACTGCTCCCCCGTACGTGAGGTGTAGTCCTGGTTCTGAGGAAACTCACCATCCAGGTGGGGAGCCAGAGGGCCACTTTGCAGGGTACTAGCAGGTGGGCATGGGGTAGTGCTCCCAGCGCAGGTCAGGGAAGTGTTTGAAAGGATGAACCTAACAGCCTAGAGGTGAGGAAAGGACCTTCTGGATGGAGGTGACTGCAAGATCAAGGGCTGAGTCATGAGGACAGAGTCAGGGAGTGACAAGTGGCTGTGTGAGGGCATCACACAGGGAAGTGGAGCTCCAGGAGCTAAGGGCATGGCAGCTGGGCATGGTGGCGCACACCTGTGATCCCAGGATTTGGGAGGCTGATGCAGGAGCATCCTAGTTCTGGACCAGCCTGGGCTCCATAGTGAGTGCAATGTCAACCTGAGCTACATAGTAAGACTTTGTCTTAAAAGCAAAAACAAGAGCTAAGGGTCCAGGTGACCCCTCTGGCAGGCACATTGAGAAGAAGATGCTGCAGCAGCCCAGCTGGGGGATGGAGAAGGCCTGAACTAAGGTAGTAAGAGCCAGGAAGACAAATCTGCAGTGACAGGAAGAGAGGTGTCTTGCCTTGGTGGCACCATTCAGCAGAGATGGGCTGGAGCAAGTTAATCCCTACTGAGACCATTTCAGCCTAACAGCTTTTGTACAAGTTCGGTACTATTACTTTATCTGCAGTTAAATGTAGAAACTGTTAATTGCTGAGTAATGGAGCATCTAGATCAGGGATGGGGAAACTTTTAGAGATGAGTTCCCAAGCAACCCAAAGCCTATTTTTTATCGCAGAGTGCTAACACAAACCTGAATGGTAAGGTTTTAGTTTAGTAAAAACAACTCATATGTAAACATCCTTTGTCTTGAAAGAAAACCAAATAACACATGTGCTGTAAGTTTGCTGCCCCTGTGTAGGTGTTCTTTTTTTTGTTTTTTTTTGGCGAAACTGGGGATTGAACTCAGGCCCTTGCACTTGCCAGGCAAGTGCTTATTCTACTGAGCTCTCTCCCCAAGTGCTTATTCTACTGAGCTCTCTCCCCAGCCCCATGTGTAGGAGCTCTTGAGCATTGTGTGGTGAGCACTAACCTGAGGGAGGATTTCTCTCTCTGGCTGGCTGCTGGCTTCAGTGGCTCCTCTGAAGTCCCTTACTCAGGAAAGTACTCAGAACATTCAAGTTAGTTACAAATATTCACATGTTTAATTAGGCAAGAAATGTTAGACTTACAAGATTTTTGAAAGAAAATCTTTGGACTGTTCCAATTCATTTTCAAATCCCAGAGATTCTTTTTTTGTTGTTGTTTTTGAGGGAATAATTTGTAATTTATTTTATGAGATTCAGTATTACACCAATACAAAAGTCAAATAATCACATAACAAGAAAATAAAAATACAGAACGATAATATTCTTTGTAAGGGACCGGGGAGATGGCTCAGTAGAATAAGCTCTTGACTGGCAAATGCAAGGATCTGAGTTCAATCCCTGGTTTAAAAAAAAAAAAAAAAATTCTTTGTAAAGGTAGGTATAAAATATTCTATAAAGTAGAGAAGCTGAATGCAATAATTATAAAAAATATTTTTAAACTTTTATTTTTAATAATTTTATTGAGAAACAAATAGCAATGAGTTCAAAACTGGTTAGTAGGAGAGTTTCAGTAATTAATACATTGCATATTGTTATCTTCTTAGTGGTTATTCATAGTACAAGATGCTGATGTGATATCTTGTCCAAACACTATTAGTACAAATCTTCCTTCTCATTGAATTAAGAGAAAGCTATATATCTATCCTAACTCTTTTGTATATACGGATACAAAATGGTCATTCATTTGTATCCCCCTTTTTTGTTTCGTTTTGTCAGCGAAATGTATTCCATTGTCATTTAAATATTGTAGGTGCGTGAATTCAGCAAAATATTCCAATATAGTCCAGTAGTCCGTAATAGTAGTGGGTCATCCATAGGACTGGCAATGTCAGAAGTTGTTGACCTGAGCCCTTTACAGCCCAGCACACCAACATGGCTTCTTTTTCTATTTCTATTTGAGGACAGGGTCTACAGGCTTCATAGGATCTCACTGCGTAGTTCAGACTCGTAGTGATCCTCTTGTTTCAGCCTCCCAAGTGCTGGGATTACAGGTGTGCGCCACCACGCCCAGCCCAGAGATTCTTGGGAGTTGCTCATCTAGCAACATCAGACTTGTTGCAACCTCTGCCACCACGAGTGTGTGTTGTCACAGCTGCTGCTGTGCAAGGGGAGTGTTGAAGAGCCAATCTCAGGGCTGGGCTGTCCTGGCCTGAGCTGTCTCCCAGGGTCCTGGCACATTAGACCAGCCAGAGGTGGCCTTTCCATTTCTGTGTCTGCTGACATGCTTCATGCTAAATCCCAGGGTCACTTGGAACAAGAGTTTCTGTTACCTTGTTCCAACCTGTGAGCTTCCAGTACTTTGCTTTCTGGTGGACTTGTGTTCAGGCTGTGTGTGTCAGGGTCGTCTTGTGCTCCCTTACCAGACACCTGGGCCACTGAGTCCTTAGGAGGTCACAGACGTGTTCTAGTGAGGCACAGAAGGCAGTGTACTCTTGGCTGCGAGCGTGTCTCCCAGGATCCTTAGAGATGATAGCCTTCACTTTCTCATCCTCAGATTGAGACGGACCTTCACCGGAAACATGTAGTAAATGCCTGGGAAACACAGAAAGAAGAAAAAAGGCAGGTATGATACATGAGCCTGGGAATAGTCCCACATGCAGAGGCATGAGACTGTCTCCGTGTCTCTGAGTTTGTGTTTTATGTTCAGTGTTTCTGACCCCAGTTGAGGAATGGGCTCGCTCAGCTAAGCTAACCTGCGGTGTGCTGAAAGTGAGATGTTTGTTCTTAGGTGTTTTAGGATCCTAAGTGATCATTCTTGGGCAGAATGATTCAGGGCTGGTGATTCAGGTTGGTAGGTGACAGGTGACAGGTGGGACGTGTGTCTTCAAGGGCATTTCTTATCCCTGGAGTCTTTTGAGGAAATTAGCACTACAGACTCTCGACTCTGGCTTAAGGACAGCCCACACCATGTGCCTGCTTTACCTCTGGGTTCATTCTGCAAAGTATTTTGCAGTGTTCTGGAGCCCCTCTTTTGTGCACCCTGGCCCAGGCCCCCAGCCCCGAAATGGAGACAGAGCGCTGGGCCTTGGCTGGCTGCACGTCACAATCCTGACTCCCAGCCACATGTGGGCTCTCGTAGCAAGAAGCCACTGAAGAGCGGGAGAACAAGCGGTATGAAAACGAATATGAAAAGGCCCGAAGGGAAGCGATGGAACGGATGAGAGCGGAAGAGGAGAGGAGGCAGCTGGAGGATAAGCTGCAGGCTGAGGCGCTGCTGCAGCAGATGGAGGAGCTGAGGCTGAAGGAGGTGGAGGTAAGCACAAACCCTCTCCAGAAGAGCATGGCTGGGGCAGTGATTCTGAGCCCTGCGCCCACTGCTGGTTTTGTACTCCTGTCCCCACTTCTCCTGTGCCCCTCTGTTGTATGCCAGGTTCTAGAACACTGAAATCCAAAGATAGTATCTGTCCCATTAGGTGCATTTAGACACCTTCGAGGGTCTTAGAGCATGGCTTTCCAGTGCGCTAAGCAGACAGGACTTGGTTGGGTGATTGATCACACAGCCGCCAGCACTAGCAGACTTTGGCCCAGGAGGCTGGTCTTTGACAGCACAGTGCTCAGAAAGGCTTGCTTTGAGCACCTTGTCACTGAGGTAAGGGGAGGCCCCACCCTTTGGCTTCCCATCTTCTTTGGCCTGAATATTTTAATAACAGGCCCAAATTCTGGTGCCTCCCCCAAATTCTGGGTGCTAGATAGAACGTGCACTAGCCTTACTCCTGGTTCGCTGTGGTTGTTGCCTGGCGGAGCAGCCAGATGTTGAGGCTAGTGAGTATGGACCATCCCAGGAAGTTGGTGGTGCCAGGAAAGGAACTTGCAGGAAGTGGCTCAGCTGGGAGCCCCAGAGATGGAGGTCGTCCTGAGCAGCATGGTGACATCCTCGTGTAGAGCCTGCTGAAAATGGAGATGAAGACCTGGTGGCCACCTCCTCAGTCTGCTTTACCATTGTAAGCACAGGCCACCAAGCTGAAAAAGGAGCAGGAGAACCTGCTGAGGCAGCGGTGGGAGCTGGAGGGGCTGGAGGACGAGAGGAGGCGGATGGCGGCTCTCCGGCAGAAGGCGGAGCTGGGGTGCGTATATGGCGGTTGGGTTGGTCAGTCTGCCGCCTTCCCTGCCTTGCCTGGGCTCCCTGAACTGCAGAGCTTTGGGCCCCGGAGTGAGCGGCTGTCTCCGCCCATGGAATTCTTGGCAAGGCGCTGAAGGCAGCTGCGGTTCGCTCATTTCCAGGCGCTTTCTGAGACATCAGTATAATGCACAACTCAACAGGCGCACACAGCAGATCAAAGAGGAGCTGGTGAGTCTGAATGACCTCTTAGCACTTTTTTCACCCTCTTTTGAGGAAAAACATTTTCCAGGGCTCTCTGTATTTTCTATTCTCATCAGAATTAAAGCCCAGCGCAGGGTAGGAGAGTGGGGAGGTGTTGCTTAGAGTGCAGACTTCAGCTAGGAGGAAGTCTAGAGAGCTCGTGCGCAGTTCATACTGCTGTAGTGTGTCCTTGGGGGACAGAGGTGTGGCTCAGTGGCGGAGCCCATGCTTAGCTGGTGCTGCCCTGGCTGCCTTCTCCAGCAGTGCTGAATAAAGTACTTCTGCCAAGAAAGGAGACCTTAACTGTTCTACCCTCAAGAAAAGGTGTGACTTGACGCATGCTAATTAGCTTTACTGTGGCAATCATATATATATATATCTCAAAACATGAAATTAGCTGCTGGGCTTGGTGGCACGTTTTCTCTTATCCCAGCTGCACGGGAGGCAGAAGAGGCAGGAGGATCTCGAGTTCCAGCTTAGCCTGGGCAACTCAGTAAGACTCTCAAAATTAGGAATAATAATAATAATGGGGTCTGGGAGAGTACTTCAGTTCTAGAGCTCCCTGAGTTTAATCCATAGTACCACACACACCTAAAACATTATATTTCGATAAAGCTGTTGCTAAAAACACAGCACAAAGAGATTCCTCATGCATTCCCCACCCTGTAGCAAAGAGTTCCTCCCTCTTTGGGGTTTTTGGGTTATTATTTTTTTTTAAAGGCTACCTTCTTCCTTTCTTTCTGTGTGTGTGTGTGTGTGTGTGTGTGTGTGTGTGTGTGGCCAGCTCAGCCCACCAGGGGGCAGGGCTGGCTGGCATGTGGTGCTGGGGGATTGAACTGTGGTCCCTGTGCTTTGCTAAGCTTGTTCTAAGTAGGTGCTTTAGACCACTGAGCCATCTCACCAGCCCTGGTTTTTGGGTTATTTTGAGAAGGGTCTCACTATGTACTTCAGGCTGGCCTTGAACTTACAGCCATCCTGCCTCAGCCTCTGAGTGCTGGGATTGTAGGTGTACAGCACTACACCTGGCTTCTCTTTGGTTTTTAAATGTATTTGAGGTTGCATTCTTCAACATATCTCTTTTTTTCTTTTTCCCTTTTTTTGTACTGGGGATCGAACTCAGGACCTTGCACTTGCCAGGCAGGAGCTTATACCACTGAGCTATTTCTCCAGAATATCTCATAGTACTTTATTTTTCACTTTGAGACAAGGTCTTGGTAAGTCAGTGGGCTACTGAGCTGGGCTTGGACTTTGATCCTCCTGCCTCAGCCTCCCAGAGTGCTGGGATACAGTGTGTGTTCTCATGCAAAGCTAGAATTAGCCTATTTGGAATTTTTTAGGTATGCATTCAGCATTGCTGTTAGCTATTTTATTGAGCAATCTTGTGACTTGCAAATCTATTATTTTTCCCAACCATCCCTGCCCGCTGTGGTCAGAGCAAACCACCAGGTGGCAGGGTTATAGCTGTTCCTGATATGCGACCCTTAAGCCCCCCATCTTTTCCTCAGGTACACCCTGTTCTGTTGCTGTGCACAGGTCGGTCTGAACTGATGACCAGCCTGGGTGTACACCGTAGTACTTGAGTTGTTCCTGGCTTTTCCCTCCTACATTAAAGCTTCAGGGTCGGTCTGTGCACACGTCTTCCCGCCCTGTCTTTTTTTTTAAAAAAATATTTATTTATTTATTTTGTGTGTGGCCAGCTCAGCCCACCAGGGGGCGGGCTGGCTGGCATGTGGTGCTGGGGGATTGAACCCTGGTCCCTGTGCTTTGCTAAGCTTGTTCTAAGTAGGTGCTTTAGACCACTGAGCCATCTCACCAGCCCTTCCCGACCTGTCTTGAGAGCAAGGAGGCCCGAGCCTGCTTCTTCATGTGTGCAGGAGGGGCTACTCCAGAGGGGCTGGCTTGCATGTCCACACCCGCTCCCCTAGGAGGCAGACAAGCGGATCCTGCAGGCACTGCTGGAGAAGGAGGACGAGGAGCAGCGTGTCCACGTGGCCAGGAGGGAGCAGGCTGTGGCCGATGCGGCCCACATGAAGCAAGTTATTGAGGAGCAGCTGAGGCTGGAGCGGGCACGCGAGGCGGAGCTGCAGGTGCTGTTGAGGTGAGTGGCTGCGGCCTGTTCGTGGTCCCTGGCCTTTGCCTTGGTTCCCAGAAGTGCCCGTCAGGTCAACAAGAGGGCTACCTGTTCATGAAGAATCATCCTTGGGAATGAGTCTTACTCCCAAGGTGTATGTCCACACCCTAGTGGGTGTTCCTTGTGGATGTGTTTCCTTTAAGTTGTTTGAGGTGGAAATCATTATGCTTTTGCCTACTGATCTGTTCATGAAAAATCCTAGAAATGTAAAGGAAATTGTTCCAAATTGCAGTGATGCTGAATGCTTCTTGGGTCTGTAAAAATGGAGTCTGGTGTTTTTTTTAAATAATTAATTGCTTTGGCGAGATAGCTTAGTATACTAAAGTGCCTGCTTAGGCAAGCACAGGGACCGTGGTTGGTCCCCAGCAGCACATGCCATGCCAGCCCTGCACCAGTGGCGGGCTGAGCCGGCCACAGAGTCCTGGTTTAGTGGTGTACGCCTGCAGTCCCAGCACTGGGGAGGCTGAAAGCAGGCAGATCACTATGAGTCTGAGCTGTGACCCTGTAACAGTCAAATACATTTTTTAAAATA